TCTGCACTCTGCCATTTGCTTTGCGAAGCAACGTGTTCGCTCAGAACTGACAAACAGCTAGGTAACAACGTGACATTGATGAATATTCAAAAATTGTCAGCAGCAGCAGTTAGGTGATGGAATCACATTTCACGTCTCAATTATAATATTTGAATTGAGAAAACTTATTCAAATGATAATTTGAACTAATTTTCTTTGTTGGAGAAGTAATTTCAAAAACTCGTGCTTCGGGTTTCATCAGGTTTCCAAACGCTCGAAAACAATAAAACCACTCGGACTGCGGCCTCGTGTTTCTCGCATTTGGAAACCTGATGAAACCCTCGCACTAGGTTTTGAAATAGTACTAAAAGCATCTGATTCAGCAATCAAACTGAGAACGCTTTGCAAGGTATTCATGCTCCAGAGAAACAGTCAAACTAAGAGGGGGTATTCTCACTGCGTCTTAGTCAAATGAAGCCTTCATGATATACCAGATGAATTGCATTAGTTGCGAAAAATTTCGGACGATTCCAAGTTCGGACAAAAAAGTGTCCGGAAATCAAACCGTCCGAAATTTTAAGCGTTCGAAATATTTACAGCACAGTATAAAACTTTGAGTAGCTCCAAAGCTCTTAGTTTCCTTTACGAAGCAAACTCCAGTTGAGGACTGCTTGAGATACGTAACCTCGTGATCGTGTATCCGTCTGCAGTAAAACTATCATTTTGACAGAAATTGTTTAAGTCTAATTCGTGTTTTGTAGCCATAAATTTACTTTTGTTGTTTCATTTTTTTTTTTTAATTTAATTTATTTGTTATCTGCATGTGCTTACAGGTACATTGTTACAAGTGCTAATTATTGCGTATAGGTAATATAAATGTGATTACAAGTACAGTATTGACATTGTTACAAGTGCTAATTATAATATATATGTGATGTAGGTGCGTTTACAAGTACAGTATTTACTTTTGTTATGTTTTAGCAAAGTGTCCGAAATTTTGTCCAAGATTTGTCCGAACTCAGATAAAAAGTGTCCGAAAATTACACGTCCGAGATAAAAATTCCGAAATTTTAACGCTGCACATTTTTTGCAGGTAACGTGGTGCCTAATTTCGGTTCTTCTTTGGTTGTTACTTCTATCTTTGAAGGATGTGGCAATGTACACTGTATATAGAGTATTGCAACTGCTAGAAATGTTCTCTCAAAGAATAATTGTAAGTGTTTTTTTTTTTTCCTAGGACACGCAACTGCAGAAAAAGAACACGAGAAGTCTAACTCACAAGAATGCTTATGTGAAGATAAACCGTTGGTGAGCTCAAGTTGTGTTCCTTCGTCTCAAAGAGAGTCAGGTGTGGCTGTCGAACAGCCATTAAAAGGCCTATTGCCCGAGGAGCTGTGTTTTTCATCAAGTGAAGTTTCACAGCTCAGAGAAAGCAGCGAAGAATCGTATTCGATTCTCCAACGAAGATCTTCCGTAGCTGAAAACACCCCTGATGTTAGTGTTGTACCTTCCAGTCAAAAAAGCCACGAGTTCGAACTTGAGCAAGCACTGCCGCATGTTACTCCTGAACGCGAACAATTTCACTGCTCGCTATCAGAATCACAGTTGGGAAGTTTCTTGGACGCTAGCTTTTCATTTGACGAGGTCACTGCACCTCCCTGTTTTTCGGATGGTTCACCTTCAGTTCAGGAGGAGTTCACTCAGATTAAACCAAGGGATGCTCGACAAAGAAAGTCAACAGCTAGTGACAAACCAAAATCGAGTTCTGGGTCATCACATTCGAAGACATTTGCTGATAATGAACTTTCTTTAGCGTCAATTCGTGGCTCAGAAAAGAAAACTCAAAGCAACAAAAAGGATAGTGGTACTTCACATAATGTTGTAACAGAAGTTGTGGTTGTATCTTCTTCGAGAGACAACATTAGAGACACTTTGCGTGGAAAAGAAAGCTTGGAGACAGCAAAAGTTGACTTTGATACTCTGTTTAGCCAGAATACGTGGAAACTCTCGCAAACACCCGTGCAGGAGTTTAGTGCGGAGGTATTTGAAATTGACAAACGTCAATCAGTTAAGAGGAAAAGATCTGAAAAAGATGGTTCCAAACATAAACTACCAGGCCTATCAGATGGGGTCATACAAGTTAGGAAACTGTCATTTCCGGATAGTCCTGTTAGTCCAGGTGAGTCAGAACATAGCGTTGAGAGATAATCAAACTACCAAGTAAGCAAGCGAACAAAGAAATGAAAGAAAAAAAAGGAAAATCAAGAGATCTCTGTTGATTCGTTAAGGTTTCATTGAACCCATTCTCTGTAAAAGTCTAGCCTTGAAAGAGAGCTTTCTTTTGGCTGTCCTTGTCTACCGATACACAAGGGAACGTTTATTGGGTATCCTTTGTTGAGGAGTTATTACATGTAGTTAGGTGTTTTTTATTTTTTGTTTTGTTTTGTTTGTTTTGTTTTGTTTTGTTTTGTTTTGTTTTGTTTTGTTTTGTTTTGTTTTGTTTTTTTTTTGTTTCTTTCGTACCGGTACACAAGGACAAAACCCGCCTTGTATTGCTCCCAGTCGGGGTTGATATAATAATAACATAGCGGTGTATGGGTGATTCGCTCTCTTCAGACGTCATGTGTTCCTTCAGCAACCCTTTAGTTATGGTAGCGTTGTCTTCATCTTACGCTGAAGCGTCCTACCGCTTTCAAGACAAATGCATCTAATACACATCCAATTATTGCCATATCGAAACGTTCCTTTACAATCATGCAGTAATTCTCTTCTGGTAAACAGAATTAGAATACCGTAAATCCTCGAATTAGTGCCNCGAATAAGCGCCCCCTCCCCCTATTTTGTGGACGAGTAATGAGACAGCAAAGATATGGTTTTCGGCATGTAGTATTAGATTTGTACATTGTTTCAGTTTGCGACCACGTGAATTTCTAATAGTGCCGCGATGTAAACTTTAGGATCAGCTTTTTATGTCGATAAACAGCTTCTGCTGTTGTTTACGCGCAGATGACGTATTAAAAAATGATCATGTCAGGCCACAATTTGGGAAAAAATTAAATAAGTGCCCACCTCGATTAAGCGCCCCCCGTCTTCTCCTAAATTTGGAAATAAGCGCTCGGACGCTGATTCGAGGATTTACGGTATCATTACCAGTTTAAACAAGGAGAGCAAGAGGTTTCCTAAACCAAATATATCGCTTTGTGATGTTATGAATGAAGTATAGTAAGGTAGGTGATACACGTTTGTACGCAGTGCACATGGGCACCTACCCCTCCCGAACCACTTCCTTGCCTCAAGCTAGACTAATTAATTAAACAAACATTAACGGTTTACACCTTATTGCCTTATGACCTTATTAGTTTATGGCCTTATGGCCTTATTAGTATTATCTTATTGCCTCAGCGGACATCAGCCCCCAAACCATCCCAATAGTGCACTCTGCATTAAAAATGGCAGAAAAAAAACGTCGACCTAGTTTGACCAAGATATTTGATTCCCTTTTTTTAAAGTCTGTTTACTTTTAATTCCCAGACAGCACTTCTGGCTCGCTGATGGCGAGCAGTCAATCATTGTCATCTCAAAGTCAGCCAAGTAACCAATCGGTAAGTGCTCTAACTCCTTTAGGCATTTTTTAATCTGCGTTGTAGAATGTGTTTTTTTTGGCCGTTTTTACAGTGGCACAATCCAAACTCTGTAATGATAGGCATTCCCCGTTTCAAATCTGAGATTGACGTCCCTGTTATTGAATTTATCAGTTGTCTGCTGCCATATTAGTCAAGTTTCATACTTACTAACTACTTATTATATGGCTGTGTCTCACAAGGACTGGGAACTACCGAATTCACGAATTTGATTGGCTGAAAT